TCCTGATGTTTCCCGAGACGAGTCAAGGGAAACATCAGGACTCGAGGGAAAACAAAACTAACTGGTTTCCCGAGGGAACTGACGTTAAGTGTTTTCAAGAGCCATAATAGGACCTGTCCTATTATGGCTCTTGGTGTTTTGTTATATTTCTAGATTTTCACTTCAACAGCAACCTAGGAATAACCGAAGCGTACCAAAAAAGTCGACTCGGTACTTATAACAACACAAATTTAATTGTCTAAACCACTGAATAAATGATTTACAAATTTCGTAGTGAAAGTGCTTTCCTTATATTATCTGCATCTTTTTCCTCCGCTAGCTGCTGTTTTCCTTCTGGGAACTTCTGGGATAAATCGAAAAATCGTTGCTTTTTAACTTGAGGCTTCGTGTTTGGGTTGTTGTGTTCATTCTAACCTGAGATCAGGCGTTATTTTTTTTTGCTTCTTTGCTTCTTTGGCTCGAGAGGAAAAAAACTTCCCGTGAGAGACATAAAGGGATAATAGGGAGAGGGCATGATCTCAGGATATGTTCATTCCCGAAAAAAAAAACTGGCAGGACCTGGCAGTATTTTTCCCGCCTTCTGTCACGCCGCTTTCCACCATGCTTTGATCACGTGCTGTAATGTAGCCCGAGCGGGGTACATTGCTTAATGTATCACGATCGGGATACATTTGATTTTAGTCAAGGCCACGAGACCAAGAATCAACCAATGGCAGTCCCTGTTTAGCTGAGTGCAAGTCTAGGAATATAACAATAGTTATGTTCATAGAGTCAGAGATCGCACGGCTTTCTTTTCCCTTATTAGTATTAAGTATGGAACAATTCTCCCTTCCTGGGTAATGACTACAGTTGAACCCTTCCACAACGGCCACCTTGGGGACAGAAGAAATTGGCCGTTTTAGAGTGGCCGTTAGAGGAGATTCGACTGCAGTCGCAAAAAAGGCCATTGAGGGGAAAAGGAAGGACAACAAAACTACTTCACTTTCAAATTTTCTTTTTACCAAATGCTTGATTCAGACAGACAGAATAGATATTAGAGCCAGCGCTGCGTGGAATTATGACATTCCAAGCTGGGATTTCGCGATTTCCTTATGGGCTGGTGATGATCACAATATTACACGTTAGGTGAACCTCCAGTAAGCGGCCACTCGATCGGCTAATTGTCAAGCTGCGCGGTCGCTTTTGAAAGTCTTTCTTGGTGCCGAGGGGCAAATAACAAGGGTCGATCTTTTGACTCTCACACACAGTTATTAAGGCAAAATTCATGCCCGGCGTGGAGAGCACTTTCTGGAAAGATGCGGGAATATGTAGTGAAATCGCACGCCTCAATACTCTGATCTGATTAGTACGGCTCAATATAAATAGATATGGGTATTTCCTGTTTTTCGCATAACCAAGATTGCGCAAAATTCTATTTAGGCTGCAAGGTTCAGAAGGCTTCCGGCGCATAAGGCCATGCTAATGCCATTGCAGCCAACAAGAATGGTAGCAACTTTAATGTTCAAAATCTTCATTATCGGTATCTTCGTCAAAGTGAAGATAAATACTATTTGTCATGAATAAGATTCTGAGCTCTAAGGTCCTCAGATAGAGCGCTGTGAAACTGGAGAATCATCAAATACTAGCAATGCGCATGTTTTTCCTATCGAAATCATATTATTATTATTATTATTATTATTAATTATCTGAAACTATAGGAACTCCTATCTATCCGTTGCTGACAGAGACACGTTTTACCATATAGACGATCGATCTTAGTTTTAGCTTAGTTAAAGAATTTCCACATGAATCATGGCCGAGTCATCAAGACCGGCCAGTGATCATGAGTGATTGATGAATTTGGGAGTTACTTACGAAAGCGATGATCGGAACAAATGTCTTCATTATCTAATTGATAAAAACAAGAAAGGTACATAACTAAATTGATGACTGAAATTCCCTTGGTTAGTGCATAGTGAACGTTACTAAGGTATTATCTCGAACAGCTACTGGCTGTTTTTTTTGTGTGTGTATGAATTCAGCGAATCCTGAGGCGCTAAAACTAGCATAGCAAGTTTAGTTACATTTAAGAGACGCCACGCCACAGTCCGGAAGAACTTCTATATGAAATCGGGGTCGATTTACGCTGATGATTGATTTTTTATCTGTGTTTATTAATATAAGATCTTCTTTTCTCATTCCGGAAAAGTATAAATATCATTAGTCATAACTGGATAACGTTGGATTAGCAAATCCTTGAATAGAGTGTATAAACACTGATTACAATCATCTCATATAATTATAGTTTAGTTGTTCATTGTCCATGCAGGCTTCCCACTGCACAGGATAGTGATTATGAGCCGAGCTAATTCACCTTTTTGTATGACTGGGACCCCGGGGGGAACTCCAGGGAATTCTTGGTGGGGGTACTGTGCCGCCCGGTTCTCCAAATCCTGACCCTATTTCAGACCAAAAAATGTCATTTTCCATACAAGTTTTCAGATCAGACCTCTAAAATCCATACGCGTTTTCAGACCTGGCCGTTATGCAGAAATTATGTCATCCTTACTTAGATTAGAGCGCAAACAAAAAACTCTTTAAATGCATTTCGAATTGGCGTATTTCTATTTCGTTCTTATTCATTTGGAAGTGAAACAATAACTACGTTCAATTATGCTCCCGTAGTTCCCTCGAAAACCGTACCCAATTCCAGACCAAAATGGGCAAAGTGTATACCTGTTTTCAGACCAAAAACCAGGGGCACCCAACGAGAATATAGTTTAAAACCACTTAAACCGTAGCATTGTTAAACGTATCAAGTTTATTAGTAGTTCAAAACGGTAGCTATAGGCATATTTTTATCCCCTAAAAATTTTTCATCTGTTCGGACGTCCTAGCTAAAAGTCTAGTGATCCAAAAAATCACAGGGATCAAACCTTACCTTTTCGAAAATTTCAGCCAGAAAAAAGGCTCCCGAAAATTCTAGGTGACCTTTTAAGGGTAAAAATCCTTTTAAAATGGTCAATTATACCATTTTTTTAGATGTTCGAAAAAACCTAGGAGAGGCAGGCAAGCAAGAAATTTTACAACAAATGTTCCGATTTTTCTAGATCTCAATTCGTCCTCCGAACAGATATTTTCCAAAAATTGGCTTTGGGTACCTCTGAAAAGGCCCAAAAACCCTACCCCTGGGGGCGGAACATACCTGAAGGGGTAATATAAGGGAGTAACACCGCCCTCCCCCCTCGGGACTGGGACCTGCTGGCTATTGATTTTCTAAAGGAAATCCTTTTTTACTTTCGGGAAAGTCGTCAGTGTTTACCATGATCAGCTAATACGCACAGGTTTAAAGAGGCGCAAAAAAAATACTTGTATGGGAAGCACTATTGCTCTAATTAAGACTTCCCATATCCGCATGAACTCGGACCAACCTGCGTTTAAGCGGTCCTTCTTCCCTTTAGAACTGGACCGATTTACTGAACTTGTGCCAAAACGTCTATCTGCTACTCATTCATAATAAAGATGTTGATTTATGATTGTTTCAAATCATCATTTTTTTTAGGAGTTTTGATCAGTACGTTGTCTGTAATCATGGGTTCTACCCCCGGGGGGGTAATCAACACCTTTTTATACAGGGAGGTTCCGCCGCGCCTAGAGGTCCAACCCCTTACCCTTTTATATACCATTTTTGAAACAAAAATGTACCCCTTTCGTATACCCGTTTTGAAATTTACATCCCTTTTATTAACCGCAGTAACTAACTCACTGTCTTCTAAATATGAATAAATCACAAAACCAGAACGTTTTCTCGAATTGTTAACAGCCATAAAATGCATTTGCCACCCTCATTCGGAAATTTTTACAAACCGGATTGACAGATTTCCCTTCCCTCATGGCATTAGACTGCGAGCAGTCTCTTATTTTTCTTTGCAAAGTTACTACACGCAATACCCAGACCAACCCGGTCTGCGCAAAACCTAAGCATGCGAGCGGCCGTCTCTACTTGCTCCTCATCCCTGTTAGAGGTACCTCTTACGGGCGGAGCCTCCCCTTACAGGCCATCACAGGGACCCCCGGCGCCCGGGTTGCGGGTCTGAAATTGTTCTCAGCAGGTTTCCTTTTAGAGTAAACAAATGTGATCCACTGAATCACAGCTATAGGAAACTGAAAACAGGAAATACACAAATGCAAACAACTTTTAATTTGCTGAATCGAATGGATAATTGGTTGATGAAATTTACTTCTATTAAGAGCCAAAATGCTCTTGCTTCTATTCGCTAATCTACCGGAGTCATTCGATGGATACGAACTGATCGAAGGACATGTTGCCAGTGAAAGAATAGAAAAATGTACGGTGACCAGATCAAAAAAGGAATGATATTTCCTTACTGCAAAGGACTGCTTTTAACGTACGCTATAAAAAAAACCAACCAATTTTGCGCCCATCCTAAAGCGATTATGACAAGATAACTACTCTGCGGTATAGGTATACCGAGGTCAGGAGGTTTTTATTAAGCATTTGAAAACAAAGTACCGTTTATTTATATTCGCAAAGACTAAGATTCCAAGCCACATGGGCCATGAAAAGTAAACAATGGTTTGTAACCTTTTTCGTAATCGTAGCGCACTATACTCGTAATGTTTAGATTTTCATCGGAAAGTTTCTTCTATTTATGGTGATCTTAAAATCAAGTGAGTTGACAACCAGCCATCTCGACACGAGGTCAGGTTTTTATTTATAAACAGTGTATCACATGACATTCTTCGGGTGAAAATTATTCTAACACCCCTGCTTGTTAATTTTCACACCTTTCTATCTTAGACTTGGGTAACTGAGTTGTGTAAAATAAATCGAAACTAAAATAAGGCATTTAGACCTAATACCCTGCCACTAAAATGCTTACAAATTTTGTCACAGTGATCGTTTTCACGTTGGGAAAACAATATCGCTATTAAAACCTTTACATTAAATAAAATGTTAACATTCCTAAATAAACGGGGAAACAACAAGCTTCAAGTATTTAATAAATTGGAGGGCATGCACCCTGAAAGCCTCCCGGCCAAACGTTTGGGGCGCTGCCTTCACAGAGCTGGAAACCTTCCCAGGTACTTCCTGCGTGATTGTTCCCGAAGATCGCGGAACTCGATCGGCATTTTGATCTCAGCTCAGCGAATTCAGTGAATTCTTCCTCCATCTCACCATCTTTACTGTTGTTAGTTGCTGTAACAGTTATCAAAGGCGACGGAGTAAGATTGGGCGTCCTTGTTTTTCCAATTTGAGTGGGATCCGACGCGCTCCTTGTATGCTTACGACAGTCAGTGATCAGGACAGTTTCGTTTTTAACGGGCAATTTACGTAACGTAGTTGGGATACTTTCTTTGTTGGACGGACCATTACCGTTCGGAAACTGCAAAGAAGATTCTTTACCAGCGTCAAACCCGGCGTCGGCCATTCGGTTGAGAAAATTGCTTTTCTGTTCATCACTATTGGGTGAGCGGTCACCGGTTGTTCCCTTCCCGTTCGGCGCACAGCGGGCAAGAGATGCTTGGTAGCATTCGTAGTTGATAATAAACGCCAGTGAGAGCGCCTTGAAAGCTTCTCTGGCTTTGGTTTTACTTTCGCAGGTAAAGACAAATGCTTTGAAGGGATTCTCGGGTTTGTCACGCGCAACAAAGACGAAGGCCTTCTCGTAGAACTTGTCGAGGTTACAGAATGTAATCTTCGAGATAGGAAAACTGGCGATTAGTTTACCACAAGCTTCGTCAGTGACGCTTAGGTTCTTTGAGCACAGTGTCAAAATCAGTTTCTTTTGCGTTTTTCCATTTTCTTTTCTTCTCTGCTGGTCAAACACGTGGGCGACGGGTTTTTCAGTTTTTCCGCTACCTGTCCCGTTTGCGGAGGCCACTTCTGTAGATCCAATGTAACGGACAATAAATTGCACCCCAGCTATTATGCGGTCCTTTTCGTCCGCTTCGCTGCCTGTGATTTGTTGGTGTCCTTTTCGAGCAAAATTTGGACTTGTCTTGAACATATTTTTGTCTCTTGTATGTAGCTTTACTTAGGGCAAGGTTACTAAACACTCTGCATACCACTAGATAAGTGAGACTTGATGCATTTCAGTTGTTCTTTTATATAGACTCTCAAGAATTTTGTTTTGCTTTTGACGTCATGAATGCGCCGCTCTGCCAATCAGGTAAGTGTTGATGACAAATGTTGTTGATAAATGTTGATGACATTGTACGTCTTTCGACTCTGCGGATCGATAAAATTGGAAACCGAAAACAACAAATAAGTTTAGAAAATTGATTCCCACCCGATTATTTCTTTCAGTCTTATTTTCGCAGTTTAAGTGTGAGTATCTCTCTATCAGTCTGAAAACGGAGACCAGAAAATGTCGCCATATTACACATTCCGTTGTCAGCGATCGATCATGCCACTGGTCATGGCATACGAGTCATGACTACTTAATATGACGTACGCACGTATACAATTTGTAAAACACATAAAACGGCAAATTGATCCTTCTGAAGGCAAGTCGATGAACGAGTGAACAAAAGAATATTAAAAAATCTGTATATTTAAACAAATTTGCCCAATATTTCGGTTTGAAGATATTAAACATATATATATTTTTATTGTTCACTTTTTCAGTCGCCTAGCTTGCCGTAAGGATCAGTTCGCCGTTTTACTGATTTTATACAAGTTGTTATTGTACTGATCCAGGTCTACAACTGTGATTTCGGCACCACTCAAAGGTTTGTCGCAGCGGACTTGCTATTATTTAATATTTACGTATACGATGCAGTTCTCACGGCAAGCAGAACCACGCCTAAAGTAGACTGAGAACGCAACAATCTACAGGGTCAAAAACCAATTTCTAAGAAGAAAAGATATAGAGGCAGGTAAAGATAAAGAAAGAGCCGCAGGAAGTTACCGTCCAGCAGATAGCTAACTACAATTATATGTAAGAACAACTGGCTAGACAGCAAACGATGGAAAAGACTTGATAAAAGAGTGCTCAAAAACCGAAAGGAAATCATCTTACAATACACCCCGGTATATTACGTAGAAAATTCGTCTGCAAATAGCTCTTTTCTGTCTGATGACGTGGTCGACGGGTTTTCTGGTTTTGGAATCGCAGTTAGATCCCTTCGAGTCAGAGATGACAAACCGGTAAACCGGTAAACCGATTAGAGCAGAGTTGCATGTAACGTTACGAATTTACGTATTTTATTGCTTTTAAATACTATAATATCTTAATGACCTTAATTGATTTACTTAACATCTATTTATAACAATTTTATTGCTTCTGTTGCTTTGCAATCTGTTTTTGAATATTTGATTTATTTACTGTGGAACAGGTCTTCAACAAAACTGGCCAGCTTTACTTATGAGCCGGTTTGCTTGTTTCTTGGTTCAGTTTTTAAGAAGGGCCTTGGTCATCCCACAGGCTGAAGTAAGCCGCATGAGGAGAAAAAGCCACTTTACATTATGTCATCTTTTATTCTGATATGAAGGTGTAGTCATGTTACGTCACTCGATGACGGCAATACTGACACTTTATAATCGCGTTAAGTAGCGCGCAATAGCCTGCGTGGGCCCGAAATCTCTTTTCCCTTTCCCTTAGAAAGCCGCCTGCCACGCAGGCTAAGCGCGCAAGAGGCAATACAGCGAAATAGAGCATACAGCTTAGGTCTCTAAGTGTACAGCACGTAGTGAGTAGGTGATGTATCCTGAAAAAATACTTTGCTACACGAAAGCCTAGCCTGCGTAGCAAGCGTTTTCCGTGCGGTTTAGGAGCAAAGAACGAGGAACGAGTGTCAAACACCGCGCGAAAAATGGCGTAAGTAAAAGAGCAGGGAGGGGGTGGGGAAGAAAGGAAGCTCTTGGCTCTTGTTTCATTTCTCGCGCGGCCAAAACCGAGAATCCTATTCCTTGGTCTTTCTTTGCTCCGAAACCAAACGGAAACGCTTGCTACGCAGGCTAGAAAACCGTGCGATTCGAAATACCACTGAAAAATACTGAGATAAGAGAGAAATAGGGAACTTGCAATTTACGCTCAACCAGTTTACGAGTGTGTCCGATAGGATAAGGCTGAAAGCAAGAGAGGCCGAAAAGTTTTAGAGCTGCGTAATGGCATTTTATGAGACAAAACGCCCGAAAATGCCATCCTTTGGGAGGTGTGGACTTTCCAAGGGTCACGTCACGTCTACCAAGCAGAAGCCTTGCAATGTACCAAAATATTCCCTCATACACTATGGTCTTTCCATGAGTAACGTTAAATTCAATTTCTGGGTACTCCGCATTGCTAAAAAGAGGACACAAGGTACACGGAACAAGGCATACCTGTAAAGGAATGCCGGCAGGATCATCAGATTACCGGAACTGCGGACAACCGAAACCTTAGAAGACCAGAATTATATAGGAAACATAAACACCAGACCAGACCACCGGAACACCGGAACTGTGGAACATGAAACCCCACCGTCGTTTGCGGCTTCCGCTGCGGAACACCAAACTACCAGACTGTTTACAAAAACGTTTAATAGATGCTTACTTATGCACGAGAGGTCGTGTTCAATTTTCATTGTTTTCGTTTTTGTTTGTTTTTTTTTTCAAGATGAAAAATGATAAAAGAATTCCGCATGGTTCATTTTCCAGACAAAGCTGAATTTAAGCTGTTTAAGGGTAGCAATACGGCAAAGGGTTGATTTATTTGAAGCCAATATCTTCGCCCGGGATCTCCGCTAACAAAATTGGCCTTCCTCCTGGCCAGAGCTACACTGAAAGAGAATACTATAAACAGTGATACCTAAACGGTAAAACTGAGAACAATTTTAAATAGCATGATAGATAGGTAAATAATTATACCGTGAATAATGTAATTGATAAGGTACAGTTCAACGTTCGTCCATGCGGCTTAAACCATCTTCTGAAAGAGGTAAGCTTCTCTTGCTTTATAGACTGTTGACAGGTCCCCTACTTTTCCGTAAGATCATCGAGATCGAGCCCTTTCCGTTACGGGCAGCCATCTTGGATGAGTTCAAAACTACTTAATATTGGGCCGGGGGTCGGTTTGGGGGGAAGCCAGAAAAATAGAGGGACTGTCCTAAATCACTGCAGCTCGCCTTCACGGATCGCGTTGTACCAGCAACGCAGGCGTTTGATTAATTGTTAATTTGTGCTGACAACGGGTTTAGTTTTACTTTAATGAAGTTGCCGACCGTCTGACAAGTCGTTGACAAGTCGTCGTTTCTACAAAACGTTCGCTTTCGTAATACTTGTTCTCCCAACTACGACTTCCCCTAGGATGACCAAACATGTACAAATTTTATAGCGCCACTTAGAATTTATTTCTACGCGGCTACCTTGTAACTGAACAAAAAATAGAATTTTTTTTTTAAACTTTATTGTTTTGTACTAAAGCCGACTTCCGTTCAGCAAATAAAACCTCCGAGGTAATTTTTTTCAATGAGATTGTGAGGGCAGCCTCTAGTACGAAGCCTGTGAGTTGACTGAGTAGTTTGTTCTAAAACTGTAAGGTTTTCACCTTTCATGAAACCTTTCTGATCTTTTCTGAAGCTAAGTCAAGCGCGAAATTTCTCAAGGTCCAAAGTGCACTTCTCAGATCTGGAAGTCTGCTGTGATTGGTCTACGTTTTTTTCCGCTCAAATCAGCAGAAGTTAGTGGGGCAGGAACGCGTGACGAACCCCTAAGAACGTCTACGTGGGAGGCTAGCCCGGGGTTGGGGGAATTCGACCAATTACTGGGTATAGGTTAGCCGCTGAGAGTTTGAATTAGGACAAAAAAATCCTAACATACGTACCCTGTCTCGGACAACACCCTTACTTAGCACGCGTTCTTGTTTAATGGCCATTTGTTGGCAATTGCAATAGAGCAAATTCACCTTACAGTCATTGCTTTTCTGTACAAATTTCATCTAGCAAATGAATTCGATCTTGCAGACAATACTCTGTTTATAATAAGGACAGACTCGCACAAAATTATTTACCCTGTCAGGAGCGCATAACCATAGAAAGAGAGGACCCACCCGGTCCGGCACATCGCCATATTGGCCCCCGGGGTAACTGGAGGGATTGTTTTGTGCGGGTGCTTTGCTACAATACTGGCTGCAAAACAGTCCGGTACTTTTGCGTATTCAAGTACGCGCGAACAGTCAAACAAAGGGTCTGGAGCGAAGCTGAAAACGGAGAGTAGGGGGTGTGGGCCTCGGGCGCTTCGCGCGCGTTAGGTTTTGTCGCTACTCTTACGCTACACTAAACCGATTTTGAGAAAAAAAAATAACGACTGTTTTGCAGTCTATTGCTACAAACCACTGGCCGAAATTCACCGACTGTTTCACTTGCACGCTTTCTCTGTTTTTTCTTTTCTTTTTCTTGTAATTGAAACAGGTAAAACAAAATTACTTATAAGAATGACTTTAGACCAAAAAAGGAGTAATAAAATACTGAGAAGGTTTTGAATTGGGCGCGGACGAAACTTTACGAACACAGGAATATTGGGCACGAACTCCCCATACGAGACATACCTTTCTTCTCCGTTTATAGGAAGATCATAGCGGTTCTGATCTGTTTTCTTTTTAACCTCTGACTCCCACTATCCGTCATATATGTTAAGTTCGTAAAACCTTGGTGCATTTGACTCCTCACCACCACATCACATGACCGGGTTCTCGCCACATTTAATCCCAATTGTTTTTAATAGCCAATCGCAGATCTCCTTGTAAAAAGCTGCGTGTTATAAGAAAGATGGCTAAAGATTTCGTTTGATTTGGTAAGTATCGTGGTTCGGAGGTTTTAAGCTTAAAATTAGAATTATATATAACGAAAACAGTAGGGAAGCTGGCAAACCGGATTTGTATTTCTTATTATTTTCCACCAACCTGCACCGATGGTTGTTGACAGACATCCTGCACAACACCCACAACCAGAACAACGTCCACAACCAGCAATGCTAGCGAAACTGCCATAACCAACACAACTTCCACAAACCCTAGAACAACGTCCACAA